AAACCCCAAATATTTTATGTAATTTTTTTTTTATTTTTCGATGTTTTATATATATTTAATAAAAATATAACATACATGGATATATCATACATCACATTAGCACTTTATAATTTAATGAAAATATAACAATTTTCGATGTTTTATATATAAAATATTTAATAAAAATATAACATACATGGATATATCATACATCACATTAGCACTTTATAATTTAATGAAAATATAACAATTTTCGATGTTTTATATATAAAATATGTAATAAAAATATAACATACATGGATATATCATACATCACATTAGCAGTTTATAATTTAATGAAAATATAACAATTTTCGATGTTTTATATATAAAATATGTAATAAAAGTATAACATACATGGGTATATCATACATCACACAAAAACAAGATAAACAATGAAAATTTACAATGTAGTTAAACGGGCTACGCCATCGGCATACTCGAATACAGTCTTTATACCGTTCTGAAGATCTGTTTTCAGAGTTTGGAGTCGGGTTTCTAGTTGCCTGTACTTTCTTCTCTTAGGCCGTAATTTTCCGTTGGCACCTAACTGGAGAATGGTAACTTCGGAGTAAGCTTGTTCATTCTTTAAAAAAGCCACCAACTTGAAAATATTTGGGTGAGGGGTGGCAATAATGGATGTTATCTTGGAATGCCATCCTTCAACATGGTTCGTTGTGCGTGAACCTTCAGTGTGGAAATGGTTCCACATCATTCTGTCATGCTGCCCCTCCACCCAGAACTCAGTTACGTAATCTGCAAATTGCAACACTCTGGCATCTTGGAGTGGTGCATCATCAAGGGCATGCAGCCATACATCTTCAACCTGCTGTATTGGAATTAATGGTAATGCTGCTGCTTGCTTGACGATTTTATTGATTTCTGGCACCCGAGAAAAATCTGCTTGTAGTCCATATTTCTGCGCATTGCGCCAAATACACTGACCAAAGTGAAAAAAACAACCTTTTAGTTCTGACCTCGGCAACACAGTTCTCACAGCATTTTGCATACTAACTTCGAAATCTGTAAACACATGGCCTGGGTTAAGATTAACATTGACAAGTGCCAATGTTTTGTCTCTAACACATCTGAGGAACTCAACATATGTTGCCTCCTTCTTATCGGGTAATAGTGCATACACCAAAGGGAACATTTTATTGTGTACAAAAGCATGTATAGTGTAGATCTGGGTGAATAAGGTAGGACTCATGCTAAATGTTTCATCACAGTATATAGTGTCTGCATTGGCGAGATGGTAAAGATTTTCTTGTGTGGAAAACACTAGAAACCTGCTGTCGGCTGCTGCGTGGAGAAGGAAGTCGTCTCCGGATGTGGTCTTGGTTATAAGAATCTGGAAGCTGGATATCGTTGCGGGTCTGAGGAAGTGCTGGGAGGATCTTTGCTCGGGCTCTATACAGGGAAGCACAGCAACTATAGAATGTTGGAATCTCTCTGATCATCTCACCTGAGTCACGGTCAGATCGAAGGGCTGTAAACAAACAAAAAGAAAATATTTATTATACATATTATTATATCATTAATACTCGACCAGACACTCGATTGGTTTGTTACGGAAGAACATATTCAGTATGCTTTAACGTTGAATCATTTAAATCAACGGCACACAACATTAGAGATAAATACATACCTGATACTTCTTCTTGATAGATGGCACAGACTGGTTTGGTTTCCTCTTGCACCTTGGTTTTCATGGCAACGAGAAATTTGTCGACTGCCACCTTGTGTGGGTTAGCAACATGGTTGTGGTTTCTGGAATATTTGGTAATAAAGCCTTGGTGGGTGTTCAGGGTTGCTGGACAACATTTTATACAACATCTCCAGTATACTCGTTCTGCCTTCCTATTCTTCACTCGGAATTTGTATTCTTCATGGACTAAGTTTTCTCCACCTTGAGCATTGGGGATGTACTGGATGTTTACTTGAACGTTTGCCATGATGAAATATGACAGACTGACTTCTGTGTGTCCTTATAAAGACCGTGTAATGTGTAGGCTTACTGAACATAATTCATATTATATTCAAGTGTCATTTTTTTTAATAAAATTCATCACTTTAACGATTACAGTGAGTTCATCTCACCAATTATAAGACTGAATATTTAGTCACTTTCAATATTTGTTTTTTTCCATCTAATTACCTATAACACCTAATCCTAATCCGCTTAATACACTAATCCTAATTAGACCTTAATTGGATTAATCAAAAGTGGGCACAGTGAGATGTAACCGATAAAATCCATTGCACAACTAATTATCACCATAAGGAGAACAAGTTCTCTCTTGAAAAATTAGAAAATTTACTTGTAAGTTCGACAGAGTCGATGTCAACAATGTCTTCGTGACGTATTGGTCGAAATACCTGTTGCGGGGGTTGGTTAACATTGAAAGATAGTTTGACAGCGCGATCATTTTGATCGTATATGAGTTTGGGCGACGAAAAATATCAATTGAAGGCAATTACATAGGAGATTTATATGGAAACCATTGATCGCCAGTCTATCAAATTTTCTTTACAATTAAAATATCACTGATTGCACGGATACTCGTAAAAATAAAGTCATGTATAAACTATAAATATCCTATCTTCTTTATGTTATAAATAATTTAACAAGGATCATGAAGCTTACCTCCGAATTCTCTGAGTGTATTTTTAATTTTGTACGCATTCTTTCGATCGAATAATAACCGCTTCAGTAACATATATAATGGTATATAATGCTACTAAGCCCCTATGACCCCGTAAGAAGCGGAACATTCATTCTCGATTCGACAGTTTTGACCGAAGTGTGATAAAGCCCGTAAAACGAATGTATAGTTGTGTTTGTGCGGCATGCGTGTTCAAAAGTAAATAATCCCATCCGAGTCGCTAATCAAAATATTTCAAAAAGTAAAGCTATAAAATTTGCAGAGATTTTACTAGAATGTAAAAGACGGTAACTAAATACAGGAATGCGGGTAGTTATGTGTGCGAACGCTCAAACTCAATGCCAATTGTCGTAGGTATCCAGACCACTCGGACCAAAGACTACTCGGACTAAGACCAGTCGGACCAAAACAAGACCAGTCGGACCAATTAAATTATATTATAAGGCTAGACAATATGCTATTTATTTATTATTAAATCACAATACAAAGAAGCAAATAATTCTTATACGGAATTCTTATATTTAGAGTTGTTTAGTTCAATTTTGTGTACGGAAAATAAATCAACGATTAGTTTTAAAATTAATTAATAATGGTGCCAAAAAAAATATCAATATATTTACTCTTGCAATGAGACTCGGTATGTCCAGACTTTTGACAGTTTCTACATATACATGTATACTGTTCTTGTCTGATAGCCTAATTTTACTTTTTCCACATTCGCGGTATCCCCAGTGGTTTCATTCCGTTCTACCCCACTAACCCCTGGGTTACTATATACATGTATGTGGGGGGGGGGGAGACACGTTTTCAAGTTATCCGCCTTTGATGCGTTAATATAAACAGCACATAATAATACGAAGACCGGACGTTTATATGCCCCTTTTTAAACGTGACTACAAGTGTGGTTCTCGATATTTTGCGATTTGGAATCAATTTATCAATTTATTCAAACAGCACGTTATTATTAGTTCGAGTAGTCATATTAAAGCACACACAATTAGCAATTTATTCAAATAACACTTTATTATTGGTTCGAGTAGTCATATTAAAATAAACACAATTATCAATTTTTTAAAATAACACTTTATTATTGGTTCGAGTAATCATATTAAAACAAACGCAATTATCAATTTATTAAAACAACACTTTATTATTGGTCCGAGTCGTCTTTCTGTTGGGTCCGAATAGTCTTTTTGTGTGGTCCGAGTAGTCTATTTGTTTGGGCTGAGTGATCTATCAGTTGGTCCGACTGGTCTTGAACCGAGTGGTCTTTGGTCCGAGTGGTCATGGATTCTTGTCGTAATTGTACTTGAATTTCCTATGCTGTCACCCCTAATACGAAATGATATCTTCCGCAGAGTGACGTAACCATCTTCCATATTGGTATTTTTCTCTGGGAAAAGTTTGTGATATTTCAATTTTTCAAGAGAGAACTTGTTTTCATCGTTGTGATAATTAGTTGTGCAATGGATTTTATCGAACGAGAGTTCATTAAAACACACAGGTAAGTTTATAATAACCAAAGTTAAGTAGTTTGTTCATAATCGAAGAAATCCGTTTAAAATTTACCAAGACTGAGACAGTAAGCATAATTTTGATAAATTATGACTCCATTTTACTCCTTTTCAATTCTTTGGATGACGTTTACATCACCTTTTGATACGCCCACATGGAAATGTGGTCGCATATTGTCATCGCCCTCGTCCGTAGGTTTGTCCGTCGTCTACAGACCTGATTGTTTTGAAATTGATATGTTGTTTATTTTAATGAGATGAATCCTATTTAATTTCAATAATTTCCGTTTCTTCTGGAGTTATGGCCCTTGTTTCACTTTGTGAAATTCATTTGCATCTTTTAAATTAGTGAAACGAAGACGTCTATTAAATTTCTGCGATTTCCGTGAATTATGTCTAGAGTTGTGGCCCTTGTTTCACTTTTTCGAAACTTGTGAACGTGCGAACAACAAAATATTAGCGAGCCAGCGTCTTACCCACTTAGCCACCATGACGACTAGGCAGGGAATCCATGCTGAAAAATCCAAATGAGCTTTCTCGGTCAACACTGGGAGCAAACCCGCAACCTCCCGGGTACCAAGCCAGTGCCTTACACACTAAGCCACATGGCTCTCTTCTAATTACTGTGACAGTCCAGTCACATGACAAACAAGGGTTATTAAAACAGATTTTCACGGCTTGGGTAAGATCTTCGGGATTCAAATGGTTTTAGATATTACACAGTTTGTATATGGTAAGGTATCTTAAACAGTTTATTACATGTCACATATTCATATTTTTCAGTTTCAATATTAGATGCCATAGCAAATCAAAGATCATATAATAGAATAAGTCAAAAAACCTAAATATGGAAAAAGAAAGAGCTGAAGAAATGGTGATTTGAGCACCTATGCTTTCTCATAGGTGTTTTTGGAGGGTGAGTGTTCAATTCTAATAGAAAAGATTGTTGTTATGGTATTTTAGAATCTCACCATAATGTGTTTGGCACAATATAGCCCGGTTGGAGCTGATGTGACATAAACCTCCATTTCATTTTATTGTTTGGAAATTTAAAATTCAGTTTAGTATAGTAAATTTGTACACGTACATGTATGTGCACAAACAGAATCTTACTTATGTCCAGATACATGTAGATATGACTGTCTCATCTATGTTGGACCACGGTGGCCAAGTGGGTTAGACACTGGCTCGCATATTTTAAGGTCGCAGGTTTTCAGTAAGACAATGCAGTACAGAGGACTGGGCTAATGAAGTTTGGCATATGCCATACAGTGTGCTACGAGAGAAATTTTGCCTGGTACCGTGACCTTAAGGCCTTCTCTTGTATCAAATTCTAACTGCCAGGGGATCTTTTACATGCACGCCAATGTGTACACGGGACCACGTTTTTTTGTTCAATCTGAATGACTAGACAGCTGTCCTTGTCAGGCCCTCCGTCCTGCATCACTAACAAGAGGAAACCACGCCGGAAAATCTGGGTGAACTTTCTCGGCCAATGCAGGGATCGAACAACCGACCTCCAGGCTAGCGAGCCAGCGTCTTACCCACTTAGCCACCATGACGACTAGACAGAGAATCCATGCTGAAAAATCCAAATGAGCTTTCTCGGTCAACACTGGGAGCGAACCCGCAACCTCCCGGGTAGCAAGCCAGTGCCTTACACACTAAGCCACATGGCTCTCTTCTAATTACTGTGACAGTCCAGTCACATGACAAACAAGGGTTATTAAAACAGATTTTCACAGCTTGGGTAAGATATTCGGGATTCAAATGGTTTTAGATATCACACAGTTTGTATATGGTAAGGTATCTTAAACAGTTCATTACATGTCACATATTCCAATTTTTCAGTTTCCATATTAGATGCCATAGCAAATCAAAGATCATATAATAAAATAAGTCAAAAAACCCAAATATGGGAAAAGAAAGAGCTGAAGAAATGGTGATTTGAGCACCTATGATTTCTCATAGGTGTTTTTTGAGGGTGAGTGTTCAATTCTAATAGAAAAGATTGTTGTTGTGGTATTTTGGAATCTCACCATAATGTGTTTGGCACAATATAGCCCGGTTGGAGCTGATGTGACATAAACCTCGATTTCATTTTAATATTTTGAAAATTAAAATTCAGTTTAGTATAGTAAAACTGTGAACGTACATGTATGTGCACAGACAGAATCTTACTTATGTCCAGATACATGTAGATATGACTATCTCATCTGTGGGGACCCACGGTGACCAAGTGGGTTAGACACTGGTTCGCATATATTAAGGTCGCGGGTTTGCAGTAAGACAATGCAGAACAGAGGGCCTTACAAGGACAGCTGTCTAGTCGTTCAGATTGAACAAAAAAACGTGGTCCCGTGTACACATTCGCGTGCACGTAAAAGAGCCCCTGGCCGTTAGAATTTGATACAAGAGTAGGCCTTAGGGTCACGGTACCCGGCAAAATTTCTCTCATAGCACACTGTATGACATATGCCCAACCTCATTAGCCCAGTCGGAGCTGAACAGTAGGACGCCGAACCCCATTTCATTTTTTTCATTTTGTCTCATCTGTGACAAAGCAAACCAACACATTACCATACAATGTAATTAAATTAAAACTTTCATCTTTTAACTGTCGAGTCGATTTAAGTCAACTAATACATAGTATGTTTTTTTTCTCAGTTAACTACATCAGAAAGATCAAGACAGTTGGAAATGGATATTCATATTATGGAAACTTTTTCTCACAGAGCTTGATAATCAGGTAAAATGTAAGTAACATACATATTTGTATTTTTAATCATCAACTAGTTCTATACACTTACTTGGTAATCTAGTTATTCTTCTTGGGGCAATGCCTAGGACTCTCCTATTCAAGTCGTGGCATTCTTGATTTTTGACAATCACATCCATTGATTTTCTTCAAGTTGTGATAGACCCTATGTGTATTTTTACAGTAAATAGCAGTATAAAAATGATGGACAATATTTTACTTTTAAAATAGATTTTAATAGGTAATATCCAATTTGTTGTCGATGGAAATAAAATATAATAATCTGCCTGGGTCTGTTACTGGACAAGACACAATAAGTGTTACCCAAAGATGAAACAAAATAGACACTCAGTCTTGATGTGGCAAAATAAATTGTTTATTTAAACATTGTGAACCATAAATAGTAAGAAAGTATTCTTATTGCCTACTTTTTATTTTTTAGGCTGGAAGATTATTTGATGTATGATAACAACAAGAGATCCCAAGCACCAATATATTTTATAATTCTGGAAAAGAATGTATTTGACCCAATTTTTGAATATTTATTTTTTGTTTTTACTGTTAAATATTCTTCCCAAACACAATTAGATTTTAATTCTCTACAGAAATTTATGTATAATATAGAATGTAAAGTGACATATTAATCACTTAGAATTTGGTCGGAAATTATAAAGTATTTAATAGGCATAATCTAGAAACCAAATGTAGATCAAATATACATGTACCCAGAATTACAAAAAACCTTGACCTACATTAAGGTGACTTTCCCTTGCTTATGAAATGAAATAGGGTTTAAGATCCTATTTTTTTGTGTTATTATGGTGATTCTGCCCTACAACCTACTCTTATATCAAATATTTCAACTGTCAAGGGTTGTTTAAAGGGAACCCAGGAGGGCCGAATGGTTAACAAAAGCACATTGGATCAGAAGGTCTGTCATTGAGTCAGATAATTCAATTGTCAAGGGTTCTTTAAAGTAAACGCAGTGGGGGTAGTTTCAATTCCGGGCTTATACCCAATTATCCCTTGCCATGTCCTACACTACTAACGTGTGGGAACTATGTCGGAAAATCCAGTTGAAATTTCTCGGCCAATGCCTTATACTCACTGAACCACAGTGACTCCTCCTTGCTTTTGACTAGTGATTATTTATATATATTTTGTACATATTATTTAATGTTTGCGATTTTCTCTGATATTTTTTTATTTTTCAATCCTGTAATCTTGATGCTTTGCTCCTTTTATGTACAAAATATTCATTTTTTTTTTGTTTTTTTTTAATGAGGAAAAGGTTCTACATCATTTTATTACTCCTGCAAAATAGTTCATTTTTCCTTTGTTAGTTTTCTGTGTATGCTAGTTATTTCCAGATGCCTCACAAATCACTTGTAATATGACTTTGTAGCACTTTTCAGTTTCTGAAAGTATTTCAATTTAGTGCATAATTAATCTAATTAGGTCTTGGTTTGGATGTTATTAAATTTAGATATATTTGAATTATATATTTTTGGGGTATGGGGTAGGGATCTTTCTTTTCTCAGTTCTTGTTTTCGGGTAAAGAAAAAATTAAATAGCTATTTTGTATTTTGTGATGTGGTGTGTGTGTGTGTGGGGGGGGGGGGGGGGGGCAAAGTATAACAAAAACTTTTTTAGTATTAGAATTATATCTCTGTTTTTTCTGTTAACATTTCAAATGATGTCTATTTAGTTTTGATTTGGTGGTGTTAATTTACTTTTTCCTATCATTTTATGAATAAATGATAATTTAACAAATAAAATTGTTACCTCATTTATCAAACTTTACAGGTTAAACAGAGCAAAAGGGGTGGGGGCTGCATGGGAAAGATTGCTAAATTGAGGGAAAATAAAACACAAGTTTTTGTTGGTGGTTATACACAAGTTTTTATGAAACCACACAAGTTTCAGAAATTTCAACACAAGTTTCAGAAATTTCAACACAAGTTTCAGAAATTTCAACACAAGTTTCAGAAATTTCAACACAAGTTTCAACACAAGTATTGTGTAGAATTTCACACAAGTTTCAACACAAGTTTGTGTTGTTTGGTAAATTTTAACACAAGTCTTGTGTTGTTTCAACATTTAACACAAGTCTTGTGTTGTTTCAACACAAGTTTGTGTTGTTAAATAGAGACACCTAACTTGTGTTGAAAACAACACAAGTTTGTGTTGTTTCAACACAAGTTTTTTTTCAGTGTATGGTTTAGTATAGTGTACATTTAATGTGGACGTATATTGTTGTCACCGGCATCTATCTACCCCTTGTTCGTAGTCAAATATCTACAATACTTGTCTGGCCCGGGGTTTTGTCAGATACTTAACGATTTTTACATTGATGCTTCATGTGCACCAACTGGGCTAATGAAGGTGGGTATACCATATGATATGAGGGAAATTTTGTCAGGAAAGTCAAGTGGGAGTCAGGAAGAACCTTTATTTTTAGACATGAAATTTTGTAAATGTGATACATGGCATGGCTCATGGTAGAAGTCTTATGTATGTGATACAGCTCCTGGCTAGTGGTAGAAACTTTGTAAAGTGATACAGGGCATAGCTCACGGTAGAAATCTTGTAAGATTTGAGTATAAGGATGAACCCTATTTATTTATCTTAAATTTGACTTTCAAAGCTTTTAAATATATGGAACTTTTTGAAGAATTGTACAGTATTAGATTTTGAAAATTTGACTTCTAAAGCTTTCGAATATGATATTTTAGAGCATGTGAATATATGCTGGATTGATTCCCTGTAGAATTGTGAGGGATTTACTTAGACCTTTAAGAATTTGATTAGCGGGATTTGTTGACATTGAATTAAGGTCTACAATAAACGACTTTGCTGTTGGTTATTTAGAACTGGAGTGAGCGACTTTGCTGCTCGTAAGCAAATTAGGGAGTCGGACATGCCCTTGTCTATGTTTTGTTTTATAAATAATTTGTAATAATTGTTTGTACTTAGCAGTATTATTAATATTATTGTTATGATAAATAAAGTTAAATATATTTTATTTATGTTTGATATATGAGCTAATGTTGTTTATTCTCAACTGAATTTTTATGAACCAATCTGTATGGCATAAGCTAATGTTGTTTATTCTGAACTGAATTTTCATTTACCAAGTTGTATGATATGAGCTAATGTTGTTTATTCTAATTGAGTTTCCATATACCAATCTGTATAATATGCTTAACATTGCATTAAGTATGACATGTATAATTAACATAATATTTTATTTTTAAGTATGACAGAGGATATAGTTAACTATTTTAAGTGACCGTCACTAATTTAGAATTGACTTTCTCATTCTTTCTGTTGTTTGTTTTAATCAGAGATTTTCAACAAGCCAACCACAAAATATTTATAGAAATTAAATTAATAAATAGTTATATTTTTATATTCATTTGTGTACCATACAATACCTGGTTTAGCTTGGTTCCTTGTGCATATGTATATTGATTTATAACAGAAGAGATTTGATTTATTATGTTGCTCCACTTTGTTTTATTGTCTTTATATGAAATAGTTAGCCCAGTCGATACAGACAAGTAGGACGTTAAAATCATTTTATTTTAATTTATTTATATGAAACACTGTTAGAGATTGTATTCAACAACTGACTGGTTAGAGATCGTATTCAACAACTGAGTGGTTAGGATCAGTATTCATCTGTGATTTGGTGGTGTTTTTATACTTATTTTATTATCAGATCTAGCACAGATCGATTGAATACAGTATAAATTTACTGTTTTATATGTAAAAATAACAAGATTAAGGTAAAAAAAAAAAAAGAAAGTACCAGTCACACCCATAGAAAATGAAGGTTAACATTATAGAATGAATATATATTTTTAGATTTCTTGTTTATGCATTACCTTTATGTTATTGTTAATCTTGTATCCGTTTTTAAATATATAAATTGATAAATAGTTATTTGATTTGATTTGTATTAATCATTTATAATACTCATTACAATTATTTTACATTCCTGTTTTTTTTTTTAATTTGTAAGTTTATGATATTCTGTGTTCTAAAAATATTATTTTAAGCTGTTTTTGTAGTTTTTTCCATTTATTAAGGTTGATTAAACATGGCATCTACAACTCATCTGAGTGTTGCAGCTAATAACGCAAAGGGACACGGGTAATCCCTATAATTATATGGGCACCCCATGCATAGAATTTAAAACGCCACAGGACTTGAAGCATGTAAAATAGTTAAATTTCCAACTACTGATTTAACATTCCATGGATAAATAAAATATTTGCATAATAAGATATTAGAATTTGTTTTGTTTCTTTTCCTCCACTTAAACGTATGTTATACTGCTGACTATACAAAAATTCAGGCAACCGAATTCTGGGTAACTGAAGTAGCACGTACAGGTATTGGGATTTAAACATATTTTAAAGCCACAACACTAACTTTATATTGCTCACTTATTTTTTGTATTCTGATATTTTTGTAGGTTTTTATAGATATCATTGGTTCCGCTTGATATGTTTGCAGTTAATACTGAATAATTTTGATAGCTTGTATTTAGACTGTTTTAGCACTAAAACTGAATTTTACAGTTGGAACTAGTACTGCTGATATGAATTTAATCATTCCTTTTGTAAGCTATTGTAACTTATATCAATTATATTTACTGATGAATAAAACTTTCACCTTAGTTATACAATGCATGACCACGTAAAGAAATTGGAAAATTATCTTATTTATATATAATAATAATAAAAATGTACCGTATATTTTTGGAGACACAATTTAAATATTTTTTATGTCCTTGGGTCCAGGCTATGTTACCAGGGACTCATTTTATCTATTGATATTCAGCTTACTAAATCAAATATATCATATTTAATCATTTGTCATAATTTTTGATACTTTTGTGTTTTATTATATTTTTGATATTTTAGCTTATAACTGTACATTATTATTATATGATTCATAATAAATTGTTACTATTTTATTATAAAATAATCGTTAATTATATATTTTTGCTATTTTATTACAAAATAATTGTTCATTATATATTTTTGCTAATGAATGTAATATTCATAAAAAAAATGTTGACAGGTTCTTGTTGGACATATATTTTAACTGTCCTTAAAGATTCATTTAAAAACAAATTATTTTGTAAATATCTGTTACATTCATTTGAAACAGGAGGAACAGCTTGTTCCATTATCCATACTTGTTATGATAAAATTAAAATTTAGGCCACCTCTAAAACAATTCGGTCATGATCAACAAATTAATGTATCATTAACTGGGCCGGTATTACAGACCAATTTATAATTAAGATTGTTTATTACAGAGATTTGTAATTAAGATTACGCAGTTGTTTTTGTCCCCCGCCTTTCGACGAAAGCAGGGGACTATTAAAATGGGTTTGTCCGTCTGTCTGTCTGTCTGTCTGTCTGTCACACTTTTTGGGACACAATAACTCTCTTTTTAATTGAGCTAGAATGTTCAAACTTGGTGTAGGTGTTTATTAGGTCAATACCTTGATGGAGTTCGAAGATGAGCATTTTCCGCTTAGGGTAAGTGGAGATAAACAATTTGATTGATTGATGCTTTGAGACACGATAACTTTAGTTCTAATTAAGTGAGAGTGATGAAACTTAGTGTATAGTTTCATTACATCAATACCGTGACTAAGTTCGATAATGAACATTTTCTGCTGAGGGTAAGCAGAGCGATAAGCAATTTCATTTGGCGAGACTTTGAAACACAATAACTCTCCTTCTAATTGAGGTAGAACGTTCAAACTTGGTGTAGGCATTCATTAGGCGAATCCCGTGATGGAGTTCGATGATAAAGATTGTCTGCTTACGGTAGGCAGAGATAAGCAATCTGATTGGTTGATGTTTTAGGGGCACGATAACTTTGGTTATATGGAGTGAGAGCGATGAAACTCTGAATATAGATCATTATATCATTACCTTGACTAAGTTCGATTGTACCAATTTTCTGCCTGGGCTAAGGAGCGATAAGCAATTTGGAATGAACATAACAACTCTGCTTTTGATTGAGGTAGAATGTTTATTAAATGAATGTCTTGACTGATTTCAATGATTAACATTTCAAGTTAAAGCTAAGCAGATCTAATCAATTTCATTGGTCGATGCTTTGTGACAAGATAATCTTGATTCTATCTGATAGATAGTGATGAAATTTAGTGTGTAGTTTGATTGCTCGATACTTTTGAAAAAAAATAAATGTGCGATTAATTAATATGTGTCATCTATTTATTTTGTGATTTCGGCGGGGGACATCAGCCTCACTGTTGGCTTGTTTTCATAAATAAAATTATTGTTTGTTTGACTATTGTTATTAATAGATGCAAACCGATTTAATACGCCCACATTTTCTTCTATATGGTATCAATGCATGTATATCTGGTTTCATCAGAATGTAATTCTGCCGGGTTTCAGGTACTGGGTGTGGTATTCCATGCCCAAAATGCCATGCCCCCCCCCACCCACAACTAGGCTAGATTGGCTCAAAAGTGTACCACACGAAAATCTTACTGCAGTGTACCGTACATCTTCAGGTGTTAGAAGACCACTTTGACAGACATTTCTAGTGGGTCCCTGTGAACGCCGGAACAATGTAAATGAACATCTTAGTGAGAAAATAAGACCGTATGAGCGACACAACATGCTGTTAAAAAATATGTCCCCTTCTTCTAAACGACTTGACAGAGGCCATTGAAATCTAAATATAGGGTAACGCACAAATTTACGAACTCAGCCATATAAGATGAAACGAAATTTAGGTAAGCCTACTAGGGGAAAGTAATTGAAGTTTTTAGTAAAGTTCAGAATCTTCTGTCATTTATTGCTTTGCCTAGCCCAATTACAATAATTTACAATCAAATTGTTTCAAAAATCCCATTTTTTTCCACCCAGGTTTACCTAAATTTCGTTTCATCTTATATGGCCGAGTTCGTAAATTTCGTCGGCGCTCTACTTCCTGGCTCCGGAATTATCCCCTCCTTTGTCGATAACATTGCGAACGCGATAGGGGCTACATTTTTAAATGAATATTTGGCTGTAAGGATTGGGGTTATGAGAGGATAAACCCTATCGATTTTCATCTTCCTTGGACTTTCCGTTACGGAGTTACCCCTACTTTGCTGAAAACATGACATAAGCGAGAGGAAGCTACAATTTTTGACAGATTCTTTTCAGATTTAGTGTAAAGTATCGTGGTCATAAGAAGACGAGCTCCATCGATATTCAATGTTCTACGACCTTTCGTACCCGAGTTATGGCCCCTTTTCCGAAAACCATGGTAACACGATAGAGGCTGTAGTGTTCAACAGATTGTTTAACGGATTCTTATCAAATTTGATGTGAAGGATTGTGATCATATCAAAGTTATCCCTCCTTAACCGAACACCTCGTGAACGTGATAGAGTCTATATTTTTTGGCGAAATGTTTTCAAGAGGTGTGAAACAGTGGTATTGAGAGGACGAATCCTATCGATATGCAGCGTTCTACGATTTTCCGTTCCGGACTTATATTCGTCCTTTGTTATAATCCTTTGGGGTCACGAGAGAATGAAACCTAACGATTTTTAGCTATCCACACCTTTCCGTTCCGGTGTAATCTCCCCTAAGTCAATAACCTTGGGAACCCAATAGAGGCTACAATTTGAAACGTTTTTATTTTCTGTTTGGGTTTGAAGCATTGTAGTCAAGAAAGGACAAACCCTATCGACATTGCGTGTACCGTGACTCCGTTCTGGAATTATCCCACTTTGCCGAAAACTTGTGAACGCTATTGATTTTCAGCGTGCGTGATGTTCTGTTACGTTGTCCTCCTCATTTTCCGAAAATATTGTGAAGGCGATAGACGCTATAATTTTTAACAGATTTCTTTCACCTTTTGGCGGGAAGCATTGGGGTCATGAGAGGATGAACCCTATCGATATTAAGGGTTCTGTGACTTTCCGTACCGTAGTCACCCCCAGCTATAGAGGCTATAGTTTTTGACAGATTGTTGTCCAATTTGGTGTGAAGCATAGAGGTCGATTTTCAGCGTTTCGCTACTTTCCAGCTCCCTGACAAAGTATAAAAGTACGAATCACAGCAAATATAAATGCGTATGAATATAAATAACTTCAAAGATAAGTGTATAAAATATTTATAAATATAAAAAAAACGCATTAATAAGCTAGTAAATATACAGATGAAATATCAAAGTATTAATCTATTTATACGATTCTGGATAAATACCTACTTGAAAAACGTGAAAATAAAATATATATAAGAATTATTTTTTGTACACGAATTTTTTTTATATGTATTAAGGCACATAGTTATAACTACACATGTAGATTTTGATAAGGACTGAGTTGCTGATAAGTGTTGGTATCCATAGTTTGTTTATCCAGTACCTCATATGGTGATGCTGTTGTAGATGTGTTGATATAGTCAAGGTTAACGGCATCTCTAGTATTGGTTGCATCAACACGGTCATAAACTGGTGGTATAGGTGGTATATCAGACAGGGTAACGTTGTCTGTACGATTGGTTGTATCGTTAGCCACCGTTTGATCTGCTGTAGAAAAAACAGTTGTTTAATTTATAAATACAGAACACTATGAAGACAATTCTGGTGCACGTTAAACTACACAGTTGATTATGAGACACGTTAATTTCAATTACAATATGTCCACACAAAGTATCCTTTCAATTATCCTTAAAATATTTTCTTCACTAAATAAAGCTTTTTGATAAATGCGCGATTAACTTGAGAATTCCCCGATTTAACATGCAGTAGTCAAACCAAAACATTTTGTTTAAAAGGTTAATGAAAATATAATGCCTCAACTACAAGAGATGAAATAGTTAACACTCTTAAACGTATTACCTTTAATATTTTGAAAGCAAATTCTCTGTCCACGTTTCTTCATGATGCACCAGAGTGAAACGGTGGCAATACCCAATACAAGAAAACAGACGGCAAGGCAAATAGCTGCACCAATACCCCGTTCTCTGGAAATAACGTCATCATTGTCCCCATCTTGTGACGATACAACCAGGTTAAATACAGTAGATTTGGTACCAGCACTGTTATTAACATAAACTATATATTTGCCACCACCATCTTCTGTAACATCTTGTATAGTTAATGTTGATGATAGACCATCATCTTCTTGTCTAATTCTAAAATCTGTAATCAGTTGTTTACTACCATCCTGTAGTTGATAATACCAGGTATATACAGGTAGTGGATAAGCTAAAACATGGATTGATAATGCACCTGTCTCTCCACGTCCTATAGATATAGTAGTTTTAGTTTCTTGGTTAGGATCCAGGACAGGCGCACCTGAAATATAGCAAAAAGGATATTGATATCAATTTGTCTGATTTCTGCCACCAGGATTTAAAATGGTACCAGCTACGCAAGCGAAGTGTAATTAAAACAAGAAAAGTATTTAAAACAACTCTAAGAACAGTATGAACAACCTTCTCAAGAAAGATGCCAAGCAACAGTCTTTCCCAGACACATGACCACAGGATATGTTCTATATCTGCTACCTTCACTTTAGCACAAAATGGCCATCAGATAAAACTATAAACATTGCAATAATGCTTTCGACATATATTTAATTGCATATATTTAATTTTACCTATTAACCCAATGAATAAACAATAATCAAATATCTTGACCTCTAAGCTATAGTACTTACATCTAACATAGAGTGGAATAGTGTTAGACACAGGTTGACCAATATTATTACTAGCTGTACAGGTATAGTTATCTGTATGTTGACAACTAGCTTTAGGTATGGTATATTGACTACCAGAATAGAGTTGTCCCCCTTGTTGTGATCTAGACCAGGATATTACTGAAGATGGAAGATTGTCAACAGAACAGGTGAAGGTTACAGTAGAATCTTCATCTATCATGTTGTTGTTAGCATCTGATGTTAAACTTTTGATGGTCCGTGGATCTGAAATTAATTTGAATTTCCTGAACTAATAATGTATATTTTATCTCTCATAACAATTCATTTTATTTTCTGAGGCGAGGATTTGTACCAACTAAACTAATATTTGACATTTTATATGGCACAAACTATTTGCGCAGAGGCTTTACTATATTAAATATTAAAGGACAATATTGGTTTCAACTATTATTACATATGTGACAGAGGCTTCAGTTAATATCCGATTGACTTAAATTTATGCTAAATGTAAGAATAGGGCAAGACAAGTAGCCAAATGGGTTGTTACTCGTTATCAGATTTTAATGTGTTGTAAATGTTTCCTACTGTTCTGCTCCTAACCTGGTCTAATGACGACGGGCATAGGCCATACAGTGTGCTATGAGGGAAATATTGCCCTGGCAGCGGCGATACGGCCTAATCTTATATCGAATTCCAACTGCCAAGGGATCTTTTACGTGCACGCCAATGTGTACACGGGACCTCGGTTTTTGTCCAATCCGAACGACTAGACAGCTGTTCTTGTCAGGCCCTCTGGGAAGCCCGTCGGAAAATCTGGATGAACTTTCTCGGCCAATGCAGGGATCGAACCCCCGACCTCCAGGCTAGCGAGCCAGCGTCTTACCCACTCTGACAAAAGAAAAAAAATGCGACAACCCTTGTTGACTCTGCGGACGACTTAGCTGCTGTGGGCGTATGTTTCGTTACACCAGCACGTGTTTGATTTATTTAGATACGAATACTTTATAATGCTATAAACTAGTGTCAAACAGATGAAAACTGGCGTTAATGGTGTGAAATTCATTGTTATAAAATTGGCTGCTATTTGACTTCCAACTGTCTGAGTAACCGTATTTCTGTGCTTAATTTTTGCATTTGGAACGACAAGTAGATGGGAGAACATTTCGAGACATGATCTATAATTCTATCACTGTTATATTAGAACTGGTTGGTGTAAATCTGATATTCTCTGGTCCATCTGTTAATATACAAGATTGACTTTAAACTCTACATACCACTGGACGTAATTCAGTCCACTTATTATAAACAATCCCCGGTTGTACGTGGCAAGAAATATGGTCGCCTGTCCAACTTCGTGGGTTTTCTCCGGGTCCTCCGACTGCTAAAGACCCCTACGCGCAAGCGAATTATGGAAATAAAATTGAACCATATGTTAGTGCCTCAATGACCTAGTTTGTGTCAAGTGGACGTTAAAACCTATTTCTCTCTCTCTCCCTCTCTCTCTCTCTCAATACACATGAAAGTTGTGGGAAGCTACATCAGGATTTAGGTAGAAAATGTACTTTATGAAGATCATTACCCAGGCTATTAATTACTTTGGAAATATTTTGAAAAATCATTCATGTCATGATTATACTCTTTCTTGGTGACGATATGCCTTCAACTAGTTGGGCACTGACGTGTTTTAAATTTAAAATGTGAAATTTCTGAAACCAATCAACTTACAATAAACAGGAAGAGATACAGTTGGATTGACGACACTACTGTCAGTATTAAAGCTATCTCTACAGGTCCAGGTTCCAGCATCAGTTGATTGAACATTAGTTATATTAAAATACAGGGTTCTCATGTTACCATTGATACAACCACATGTATATCTGTCTGATGATGATCCAGGTACACAAGTCAATGATTGTCTACAGACTGGGTTAAATGTCTTGTGATCTGTGAGATCAATTCCATATGCCCCCATTGTGTTGTTTACGGTGGGTGGGTGTGTGTGTGTGGGTGTGGGGGGGGGGGTCGCATAGGATGTGTCATTTTTAGCAGTATCATTAACATCATTTTCAGATATTATAAGCTATATAAATCAGTCATTCATGTTATGGAAATTCTGGCCGCCGTTTTGAATTTTCCCCATCTTGAATTTTTAAAACCTTTTGTTTAGATTAAACATACATTATGCAAGAGCTAAATCTGCCTATTGCAGTTCTTTCTTTAGGCCTGAAATGTTTTCTAAATTATTATTTAGACATTAATTAACTGATCCAGGCCATAATCAACTCTCGATGGCATCAGTTTTCCCCGATATTAAATAGATTAGAACGGTTCAGCCATATTTTGATTTAAGCTAAAAATGGAGGAGCGAGACTTAGCTTCGAACAACCAGTACGGTGGTTGAAATTATTGCACGTGTCTTGTCAAACCTTCAAAGGCTAATATATTCGCTCGCAATAGAGTAATTTGAATGAAATTGTCAAATTATTCATTTTACATTATCTATTTTCGAACTATTGTAGCAAGAATGGTAAGCTCTTTATCTAAATCTTACGTAATGTATCTTTAATTGTAAGCTCATTGGATAGTACATGTCATATCATACAATGAAATGACTATTATCTGACATATTGGCCATTTTAGGAAATTTTGTCGCCATTTTGAATTTTCGCCATCTTGGATTTGGGACACTCATATTTGAGATTATTTTTTATGATCAATGTTTCTGATATCTATTCAATCACTTTAGTTGACCAAACAGATAATTTGGCTTATATGGGTCTGAACACGATTTGTTAGTAAACTTACGAACAGACATGAAAAAAAATCGAAAATGTTGCTTTTTTCAGATAAATCTTTTATTTTAAAACTGATAGTATTGATTAAACAACATATATCATATACCAGTAGATGCAGAATTATATTATGAACATTTTGAGACATATTACATATCCATATAGGTGAAACTGTTGAGGAGTTATGAAGACTTCCTCGACTCGCACTATTTCAAATAAGAAAAAAAAAACGGCGGCCATTTTTAAAGATGGCCGCCAAACTGACATTGGGCAAAGTGACCCGGAAGTCCATCAACCAATTTTGGACACTTTAGACCTAAGGCTAACTGAAAATCATAGTTAAACCAATTCATCAAATTGGTAATGAATATCTGCCTGTCACATGGACTATATGTTTAGGGTAATGTGGCACCGGTGAAACCTGTCATTACTGCTTCGCAGTTATTTATTTATTTTTTCACTTGAGCATATCTCAGAAACTATTTGTCGGATCGACTTGATGTCTTCGGTTTTACTGAAAAAGTGGGTGTGACTTAGAGATTAAAGCTATTTCGAACTTTCTCTGACAATGCGAAATGTCCGAAATCACCGAAGTTGTCTTTTTTTTAAATATTGCCGTAATATTAACAATAATTGTCGAATTTTAACATATGATACATTTTGACATAGCCTGAGACACGGTAAATAGCTACGATTATTTAGATTTTTGATTTTCGATTAATCTTCGAAGATGTTAGGCACCAAATTTTGAAAATTTAAATTTTGACAAAAGACTTTTTTATTTATGAATATTTTTTTTATGGTGCTTTACCCATAATTATAGGGTCATGTGATTTGAACAAAAATATGAAAAAAATTTGTATCGATAATTGAACTTGGCCGCTATTGGCTAATTCAGTTGATGGGTTCTAGGTTAATTATTTATTGCTCGATTTGTATAAAACAAAGTTCATATGCTCAATGGTGCAAAGTCTCAACTTTTTTATTACCAATAAAGCTTTCTGTCAGCAGCGGAAATGACGTAATTTTGACCAAAACTACAATTTTGGCGGTTAGGTACGTCTTTTCGCAAGCAAATATTATTTTTTAAAAATAAGTAAAAAGTAAGAAGATGCGCCATGTAAAGGCGCAAAAAAAGTCGGAAGCAGTTTTTTTAATTTCAATTTCATTTTTGTGCCATTTCGATTTAAAGGTGAAAAACGGTGTAAAATTGAACTATTTACAACCCATTCAGGCGTTTCATATTTTGAAATATTTCTTTGTGAATTTCATAAACTTGTATTATTAATTCATACGAAGAGAATCTATCTCAAAATTAGTTTGTAATATGAGCAGTTGCCGAGAACTGGTCAATTTTGCAAGTGCCACTTTTTATGCTATTTTGACTGTAAAAGAGTCAATTATTATTGGATTTTCATTCAAATGATACCATTTGATGCGTAATGTCAATTGTGACTAGGTCAAAGCAATTTAAAATTTTCAATAATTTATTCAGATGAGTCATATTTGTTATTTGTTTAATATTTGGATAGTTGATTCCAATCAACTAATAGAATGAACCCATAGGATCATATAGATATCACAAAATGGTTTCTAACTTGTTCAGTTGCGGAGAAATAGGCGATTTTCAACAGGTCATTTCTCAAGGTTTTTGGTCCATAAAAGTGTCAATTATTATTCGATTTTCATAACATTTTAACTGTCTGGTACCTAATCCATTTACGATTTCATACAAGTAATTTAAGATTTTCATTACCACCGGAAGTAACGTCATTTTGGCAAAAACTGTATTTTTAGCCTTCAAAACAGATATTTTATTCAAATGAGTCTGATTTGTAATGTTTTTAAAATTATGATATTTGATTCCAATCAGCAAATAGATTGAATGCATACGATCATACAGATACCAGAAAATGGTTTCTAACTTGAATGGTTGCAGAGAAATAGGCGGTTTTCTACAAGTCACTTTTCAAGGTTTTTGGTCTATAAAAGTGGCAATTATTGTTCGATTTACATAAAAATTTCACCATGTGATGCCTTATGCCATTTCTGATTTCATAAAACTAATTGAACATTTTCATTATCACCGGAAGTACTGTACACTTACATGTAAAAAATGTATAAAATGAATTGATATTGCTGGATTTGGTTGATTGGACGTCCATTTTATTTGATGTGTGCAATGCTTATGTGGAAACTTGTTTAATGGTTTCATTGGTACCAGAAGTGACATATGTTTAGGGTAACGTGGCACCGGTGAAACCCGTCATTACTGCTTTGCAGTTCTAGTTATTATTATTATTATTATTTTTCCACTTGAGCATATCTCAGAAACTACTTGTCGGATCGATTCGATGTCTTCGGTTTTACTGGGAAAGTGGGTTTGACTTAAATTTTAAAGCTATTTCTAACGTTCTGCGACAATGCGAAATGTCCGAAATCACCGAAGTTGTCGTTTTTCGAAAT